TGAGTAAATGCCCCTCTGAAGACGTATAAGAACATGTCTTCCCAGAACTAGCAGGCATGAGTCATACACCACTCCATCTCCAGCAGCTGTACATGCTGTTGAAAAACTCACAAGCATGACAGGTAGAAGCATTTGGAGCATCTTCAATGGAGTATGGACCACTAGAAATGGACTGCTGGAAATGCGGTAACATTCCAGAAGTATTGAAGTAATAAGGGACATTCCAAGTTATCGTGAAATATATAAACCCACAAGAGTATTGTAATGTCTCCAATATTTATCAGGTTCCTTAGGAGCTCAGGCCCTCCTTGTTCCACCAAAGCTGGTGAGATATTCAAACTGTCATTTAGACAAAGGCACAAAGACACAGACACCAGCGAGTTGGAAATCCAGGGAGTCTTTATTTCTCACTCAACCCATGTATGTGAGTAGTCCAAGGTCCGCATATGCAGCTCAAATGGCTGAGGTGGCTGCACGAAACCCTCCTCAATTACCAAGCCCATGATCTTTAATATGGACAAAGTACGGGGCATTCCATGCCTCCAAGGACCACTCCACTTCCAATTGGAAAATGACCAGCCCACAAGAGGAGGACGTGGCCCCCATTCCTTGTCAGGAAAAGCCGAGTGGAAAGAGGCCAATCTGGGCTCGTGCATGGATTCTCCTGCCATCGCAGCCCAAGAGCGAGCATCCCGGTTGTGGCGCTCGTGCTCCCTGTCTCACTGAAAATCAATCAGTTAACTTTATTTCCTAGGCAGTATAAGAACTATTTTTTTCTGGTTGACATTCTTACATCTGCTGTTAGAGGAACACATCTCCAGAAACACCCACTTTTGCAAGGCATTCCCTGCAGAGATGTTAGGTGGAGCTTGAGCCACCACTCCCTATTTATGAGAGCAGCACTGAGGGCGTTATGCAAATGACGTTCGGGAGCAGCCTTCATTAAGCACAAGTGTCCTGCGGAGGAAAGCGTATTCAACACACTTGGAGTATCCACTTTCATCCCGGGGGTTTGGTGGCTCTCCAAGTCAGCTCAGGTCATGGCCCTGAGGCTCCTGATCAGTCTCCTGATGATCTTCCCTCCATGTAAGAAAAGCAACATGAATTAGTATTATGCTCCTGTGGCTTCTCTGCTTTTTCTAATCTTTTGTTTTTACATTCTTTTTCCATGATGGCAGGTGTTCAGTCCCAGAATAGCATCATAGAGTCTGGAGGGGGAGTGAAGAGGCAAGGAGAGAGCATTCAGCTGACCTGTGTTGTTTCTGGGTTTTCGCTATCCAGCTACGCCATGAGCTGGGTCCGTCAGCCCCCAGGAAAGGGACTGGAGTGGGCAGGAGCTGTTTGGAGCAATGGTGCTCTGTACTATAACAGTGCTCTGAAGAACCGGCTCACCATCTCGAGG